TGACTTTTGACGCAACGCGTTGTCCGGCGTTGACCTAAGGTTACGCGTTGACCGGCGTCCACCTTAGGGTTTTGAACCGCGTAGGTTGGCTTTTGTCGTCACGTGTTGACTTTCGTCGTCACGTGTTGACTTTTGTCGCAACGCGCTGTCCGGCGTTGACCTAAGGTTACGCGTTGACCGGCGTCCACCTTAGGGTTTTGAACCGCGTAGGTTGGCTTTTGTCGTCACGTGTTGACTTTCGTCGTCACGTGTTGACTTTTGTCGCAACGCGCTGTCCGGCGTTGACCTAAGGTTACGCGTTGACCGGCGTCCACCTTAGGGTTTTGAACCGCGTAGGTTGGCTTTTGTCGTCACGTGTTGACTTTCGTCGTCACGTGTTGACTTTTGTCGCAACGCGCTGTCCGGCGTTGACCTAAGGTTACGCGTTGACCGGCGTCCACCTTAGGGTTTTGAACCGCGTAGGTTGGCTTTTGTCGTCACGTGTTGACTTTCGTCGTCACGTGTTGACTTTTGTCGCAACGCGCTGTCCGGCGTTGACCTAAGGTTACGCGTTGACCGGCGTCCACCTTAGGGTTTTGAACCGCGTAGGTTGGCTTTTGTCGTCACGTGTTGACTTTCGTCGTCACGTGTTGACTTTTGTCGCAACGCGCTGTCCGGCGTTGACCTAAGGTTACGCGTTGACCGGCGTCCACCTTAGGGTTTTGAACCGCGTAGGTTGGCTTTTGTCGTCACGTGTTGACTTTCGTCGTCACGTGTTGACTTTTGTCGCAACGCGCTGTCCGGCGTTGACCTAAGGTTACGCGTTGACCGGCGTCCACCTTAGGGTTTTGAACCGCGTAGGTTGGCTTTTGTCGTCACGTGTTGACTTTCGTCGTCACGTGTTGACTTTTGTCGCAACGCGCTGTCCGGCGTTGACCTAAGGTTACGCGTTGACCGGCGTCCACCTTAGGGTTTTGAACCGCGTAGGTTGGCTTTTGTCGTCACGTGTTGACTTTCGTCGTCACGTGTTGACTTTTGTCGCAACGCGCTGTCCGGCGTTGACCTAAGGTTACGCGTTGACCGGCGTCCACCTTAGGGTTTTGAACCGCGTAGGTTGGCTTTTGTCGTCACGTGTTGACTTTCGTCGTCACGTGTTGACTTTTGTCGCAACGCGCTGTCCGGCGTTGACCTAAGGTTACGCGTTGACCGGCGTCCACCTTAGGGTTTTGAACCGCGTAGGTTGGCTTTTGTCGTCACGTGTTGACTTTCGTCGTCACGTGTTGACTTTTGTCGCAACGCGCTGTCCGGCGTTGACCTAAGGTTACGCGTTGACCGGCGTCCACCTTAGGGTTTTGAACCGCGTAGGTTGGCTTTTGTCGTCACGTGTTGACTTTCGTCGTCACGTGTTGACTTTTGTCGCAACGCGCTGTCCGGCGTTGACCTAAGGTTACGCGTTGACCGGCGTCCACCTTAGGGTTTTGAACCGCGTAGGTTGGCTTTTGTCGTCACGTGTTGACTTTCGTCGTCACGTGTTGACTTTTGTCGCAACGCGCTGTCCGGCGTTGACCTAAGGTTACGCGTTGACCGGCGTCCACCTTAGGGTTTTGAACCGCGTAGGTTGGCTTTTGTCGTCACGTGTTGACTTTCGTCGTCACGTGTTGACTTTTGTCGCAACGCGCTGTCCGGCGTTGACCTAAGGTTACGCGTTGACCGGCGTCCACCTTAGGGTTTTGAACCGCGTAGGTTGGCTTTTGTCGTCACGTGTTGACTTTCGTCGTCACGTGTTGACTTTTGTCGCAACGCGCTGTCCGGCGTTGACCTAAGGTTACGCGTTGACCGGCGTCCACCTTAGGGTTTTGAACCGCGTAGGTTGGCTTTTGTCGTCACGTGTTGACTTTCGTCGTCACGTGTTGACTTTTGTCGCAACGCGCTGTCCGGCGTTGACCTAAGGTTACGCGTTGACCGGCGTCCACCTTAGGGTTTTGAACCGCGTAGGTTGGCTTTTGTCGTCACGTGTTGACTTTCGTCGTCACGTGTTGACTTTTGTCGCAACGCGCTGTCCGGCGTTGACCTAAGGTTACGCGTTGACCGGCGTCCACCTTAGGGTTTTGAACCGCGTAGGTTGGCTTTTGTCGTCACGTGTTGACTTTCGTCGTCACGTGTTGACTTTTGTCGCAACGCGCTGTCCGGCGTTGACCTAAGGTTACGCGTTGACCGGCGTCCACCTTAGGGTTTTGAACCGCGTAGGTTGGCTTTTGTCGTCACGTGTTGACTTTCGTCGTCACGTGTTGACTTTTGTCGCAACGCGCTGTCCGGCGTTGACCTAAGGTTACGCGTTGACCGGCGTCCACCTTAGGGTTTTGAACCGCGTAGGTTGGCTTTTGTCGTCACGTGTTGACTTTCGTCGTCACGTGTTGACTTTTGTCGCAACGCGCTGTCCGGCGTTGACCTAAGGTTACGCGTTGACCGGCGTCCACCTTAGGGTTTTGAACCGCGTAGGTTGGCTTTTGTCGTCACGTGTTGACTTTCGTCGTCACGTGTTGACTTTTGTCGCAACGCGCTGTCCGGCGTTGACCTAAGGTTACGCGTTGACCGGCGTCCACCTTAGGGTTTTGAACCGCGTAGGTTGGCTTTTGTCGTCACGTGTTGACTTTCGTCGTCACGTGTTGACTTTTGTCGCAACGCGCTGTCCGGCGTTGACCTAAGGTTACGCGTTGACCGGCGTCCACCTTAGGGTTTTGAACCGCGTAGGTTGGCTTTTGTCGTCACGTGTTGACTTTCGTCGTCACGTGTTGACTTTTGTCGCAACGCGCTGTCCGGCGTTGACCTAAGGTTACGCGTTGACCGGCGTCCACCTTAGGGTTTTGAACCGCGTAGGTTGGCTTTTGTCGTCACGTGTTGACTTTCGTCGTCACGTGTTGACTTTTGTCGCAACGCGCTGTCCGGCGTTGACCTAAGGTTACGCGTTGACCGGCGTCCACCTTAGGGTTTTGAACCGCGTAGGTTGGCTTTTGTCGTCACGTGTTGACTTTCGTCGTCACGTGTTGACTTTTGTCGCAACGCGCTGTCCGGCGTTGACCTAAGGTTACGCGTTGACCGGCGTCCACCTTAGGGTTTTGAACCGCGTAGGTTGGCTTTTGTCGTCACGTGTTGACTTTCGTCGTCACGTGTTGACTTTTGTCGCAACGCGCTGTCCGGCGTTGACCTAAGGTTACGCGTTGACCGGCGTCCACCTTAGGGTTTTGAACCGCGTAGGTTGGCTTTTGTCGTCACGTGTTGACTTTCGTCGTCACGTGTTGACTTTTGTCGCAACGCGCTGTCCGGCGTTGACCTAAGGTTACGCGTTGACCGGCGTCCACCTTAGGGTTTTGAACCGCGTAGGTTGGCTTTTGTCGTCACGTGTTGACTTTCGTCGTCACGTGTTGACTTTTGTCGCAACGCGCTGTCCGGCGTTGACCTAAGGTTACGCGTTGACCGGCGTCCACCTTAGGGTTTTGAACCGCGTAGGTTGGGGTATCGAGATACATGCACGATCCAGGAGTGGGTCATTGGGACGCTGTGAAATGGATTTTGAGGTACATTCGAGGTACGCTCAATGTTGGTTTAGTTTATGAGCGGGACACTACAGGTGGGCAATTGTGCATTGGTTATGTTGATTCGGATTATGCCGGGGATTTGGATAAGCGCCGGTCTACGACGGGGTATGTGTTTACTTTTACCCATGCGTCGGTGTGTTGGAGATGCACCTTACAGTCGACGGTGGCTTTGTCTACGACGGAGGCAGAGTATATGGCAGTTACGGAGGCTGTAAAGGAGGCTATTTGGCTTCGAGGACTTTTGGAGGAACTTGGTATATCGCAGAGGTCCGTCACTATTCATTGTGATAGCATGAGTGCTATCTATTTGGCGAAGAATCAGGTTTTTCATGCGCGGACGAAGCACATTGACGTTCGTTATCACTTCGTTCGAGATGTTCTTGAAGATGGCGATGTGGAAATTGTGAAAGTCCACACGAAGGATAATCCGGCGGATATGCTCACTAAGGTGGTTCCGAGTAACAAGTTTGATCATTGTCGAAACTTGTTGCACATTCGTAATTGTTGAGGCCGTTGTCGGCCATTTGGGTGAACTACGTTTGGCTTGATTCCTTGGGCAAGAGGATACGTAGGTAGTCTTTCAGATGCAGCCGGTTTGGATTAGTTGATTTTGATGGGGGTGAGATTGTTTGGATTCTCGTTTTGGTTCCCGACAACAAGTGGGACATTTGAATGCTTTGGTGTCGGTTCGGTTTTTTGGAAAAAACTTCACCGAGGTGGAGAATTGTGAACGTGTTTCTGTGCTTTGCTCGTGGGGTCCACACCTGCACGTGAGTCTGCTTGGAGTTTAATTGTTGTTCAGGTTTTTCGTTTTCGTTCGGGTACGTGTGAAGCGGCCCACGAATAATCCTATTTAAAGAGCCTAGGTTTTCGTGAAAAGGTGATGCAAAGGAGGGCGGCGGCTTCGTGCAAACAGGAAAAGCGGCAGCGAGTGCGAGGGCGCTGTGCAGCAGGAGATTTGATTTTTGGTTTTGATTTGTGTGCGGCTGCGGAACAGAAGTGCGCAACTGGGGATTTCTTTTCGGCGTGCAAAAGGCAGAGGCTACAGTGCGGATGCAGAGATAAAAGAGGAGATTTTGTGAAGCCTTTTGTTTAGAGTTTGTGCATCCCCTTTGAGAGATATTTGTGTGAGGGATTTGAGAGTTTGTGTGAGGGTTTAGATTGAGTGATTGTAAACCCTAGTTGTTTTTCTCTCCCTCTAATAGTAGATCTCCCCCTCCTTGCCCCGTGGACGTAGGCAATTTGCCGAACCACGTAAAAATTGGTTGTACTGCTTTTGTGTGATTTGTAATAGATTTTAGGATCCCTCGACAGGTCAGTCCTAGAACTGATGAGAGGAAGAGCCGATATCTCACTTGGTTGAGATATCCGCTTCAGATTCTTGTCTCCTTGGTGAGACGGGAATTCTTATTGCGACCTGACTCTCTTGTTGTGCTGCCGAAGTGCTGCCGAAATTTTCCGCTGCGCGCAACAAAGAGTGTGGTTCATGGTGTACCCCTGGTGGGACTCTAACCCTAAAGTCAATTCAGACACCTCCGCGAAGATCCGGTTGAAAACCAAAATAATAAAATATCTGACACTGCATCATACTCTACTAAACACATGCATCACCACTTGTGGTAGGTGAATTATTTATCGATATATGTCTTCGCCTCCAATACTGGTGGCGGATCAGTTATATATCCATATATGTTAATAATATAATATTATAATACTGACAACTGCGACGAACAACAATAATGATTTGATAATGACTCGTGTCGACAAATTAACGCCAAAATCATCATAACTCTCCTATATATTAATATACAGAATAGGGGCTGATCTTGCTCCCAAGGGAAGAGCACTAGCTATAGGGTTGTGTTCAAAAGTGAGCTCTCTTATTCCACTCTATTTACATTTCTCTTGGTTTGCTAAATTTTACTGAATTATTGTTTCATACTAACTACATTTTACCGATTGAGCTCAGGTACTTTTCTTCCCCCAGCCCAAAAAAACCCTTCCTTTATTAGTTATTTAGTTTCTTCTTCTCTCGCTTTTTATTAATTTTTTGCTCCTTTATATGTTTAAGAAGACATTCTTCTCCCTCATACAAGCAGAATCACCTTCCTTTAGTTATTATTATGCATACAATTTGTTTTTTCCCCCCTCCAAGTTTGATGGCGTTTATGTTGATTTTTCAAGACATAAGGGCATTTTTGATGAAATGTTTTCAACAATGATATTTTCTTTTTTCCAAATATGAGGATATTCTCATAATTCTAAAAATAAAGCTCACACAAGCTAAAATGACAATGTATAGATAGGTCTCACGAGGAGTTAACAGCACTGCACGTTGTACAGTTTGATGTTCTATGGCAAATTTTCCTCTTTTTATGTACAACATGTTAAAGGCCTTGCACTATGTCAAAACCTTTAAGATCTGAGAAATAAATTTATACTCTTAACATGTTGTTGAGAGTCCTTTTCATAAGCTGAAACTTTAAGTTATTGAAATTTGTACTCACACGTTCACGGGCAGAGTATGAATTTTGTGTCAATGATGTTGCCAATAATTTATCATTGTTGTATTTTGAATCTATATTAATAAATTTATAACTTTAGTCCTTCTTAGTGGTGTTCTACTTTAATTTTATGGTGTTGTAAGTAGCAAACACAAGTAAAAATAAACAAAATAGCTATAAAATAAGAAATCTATGTTGGCCACTGTGTAGCTCTCCATCACGGCACGTAATGTTATATTTTCTTGAAAAGCATTAAATTTAGGGTTTTGTGTGTGTGTGTGTTGGGGTTGGGGTGGGGGGGGCACCTTTTATTTAGGATCAATTTACGTAAATACTTTATATTTTTATTTTTATTTAAACCACCTGTAAAATTAAATTTTCTTCTAATCAACCATTTGACCACACTTTGCTGCTAAAATTTTACCGAAATTTTAACAATACCTCATTTAATCTCATGTAGAAAGTTTAAATTTACGGTCAAAGGATCCTTCCATTGCACCAAAGCTAGTGAGGCTAGAGAGATAAGCATGATTTTACATTACTCTAACACTACATGTACAGGGATTAATTTGCCTTATTGCCAAATCCTTCACCACCATTTCCTCCATGGAATTATCAGCAGCTGATTTGTTTACAAACCCAGTAAGTTTAAATATGACCAAATCTAAAGTTTTTTTTTTCTAGAATTCAATTAAGTCTTATGCATTGACATGATTTTTTTTTTTCAAACCAGGAGATAGAGGACCTCAATTTCGTTGATGAATGGGAGTTAAGCTCTCTGGACCAAGATTTCTCTTTAACAAACATATGGGATTGTTTCCGAGAAACACTATCCTCAGAGAGTTACAACTCCTGTTCCCCTTGCTTTGAGGCTCCCTTGACTCCTGCCAACATTGGGGAGCCTACAGAGAAATTTCCTGAGCCTGATAAGAACTGGAGCTTTTCTTCTACAAACACGGGCATTCTGTCTTTTGGACATCCGTGTTCAGATGAAAGATTGAAGACAGTGGAAGTTGTGATCAAGGAGTCAAAGAATGCAAAAGTGAAGCGGAGTGCGACTGGTAATCAAGAGCATGTAATTGCCGAGAGGAAGAGGAGGGAGAAGATATCCGAGCATTTGTTTACATTGCACAAAATTATTCCTGGCACAAAGAGGGTAATTTTCCCACATTTGTGTTCACATTATTTCATTTGAATAACTTGGAAGGGTTAATTTCGGATAGACCTCCTCTATTACTGTGCAATTGTGGATTAGACCCCCTTAGTTATATTTGTTCTAATAAAGCCCCTGTACCATTTGCTCAGGTATGGATAAATCCCTTGAGTGAATTTTTCTACTTTTAAAAGAGTAAAAGAAAGTTCACTAGGGGGTATATCCACACAAATAATATCGCAAGGAGTCTATCTACTATTAAGGCTATAGTATAGGGTGCCTATCTACAATTAACCCTATTTTAAAAGTAGCCTGAAATTCATAATATATTTGCTGTAGAGAGACAAGGCCTCTATTCTCAAGGATACAATTGATTACATGAAAGAAATGGCACAGAAGCTCAAGACCCTTGAAGAGCAGGCAACGAAAGAAACAGTGAAGTCTGTATCTGTATCATGTAAAAAATCCCAGCCCTCCGGCATCAGTGATGAGGAAAGTGGCGATAACCCTCCCTCAGCTGATACCCAATTCAATATCGAGGCAAAAATATCAGCGAAGATCGTCCTTATCAAGATTCATTGCAAGAATCAACGAGGAATGCTGCTCAAGGCACTCGGTGAGATTGAAAAATCTCATCTTAGTGTCATCAGCGCGAGTTCCCTACCCTTCTCAGATCAGTTTCTTGATATAACTGTAACAGCTCAGGTAAAGATTCACACGTTGTTAACGTGAAGTATGATTACATTGTTAGTCTAGAATTTAACTACTTAAGCTTCTGGGTTGAATTGATTTTAGCATTTATTTAAAGCCTATTAGCTCCCGGTGTGGACCAAATTTCTCCTTAACAAGTGGTATTATAATTGGATCTTGGACCCAAGCAAAAGGGAGAGTGATTAGGCTTAGAAAATTCGAATGATATTTGGTATTGTTGGGAATATACACCAAAACCCCAAACACAACAGAAACAAGTATAGAGAAAATACACCAAGATTTAACGAGGTTCGGCAACTGCCTACGTACTCGGGAGCCACACAATTAATTTCTCATTAATTAATAAGAAATTACAAGCTTAGAGCAGATCTCAAACTGAGATCTCTCAATAAATACACAACATTGTAGCTACAATGTTATATAACCCCTCTTTTTAAATCCTCTCTCTTTAATTCTCTTTTCTTAAATTTCTCCCCTTTTAATCCCCCCAAAAATCACTACTTAGGGCGCTGAAAGAAAAAACGTTGGAGAAAAAGAAGAGGGAGAAGAGGCCGCCACTGGATCTGAGCACGAGAAGAAGCATTGATCAAGGCCTCTGGGTTTCTCTTTAATAGGGAAACCCTATCGACAGGCTCGCCGCGACAGCCTGTCGCTGGAGCTCGCCTGCGCATAGTGCTCGAGCTCGCCCAAAACTAGTTGAGCTCGCCTACACCAACACGAGCTCACCTTATCTGCATCGACCTCGCCTGTAGTTGTGTCGACCTCGCCTTCTTCGCGTCGAGCTCACGTGTTCCAACCTATTCGAGCTTGCCAGCAAAACGCCCCAACCTTGCCTGAAGAAGCCCTTGCCTGGAGCTCCTCGCCTGCGCTGCATCGACGAGCTCGCATGACCTCGCCTGAAATCAGAGCTTGAGCTCGCCTGCACCGGATCTCGAGCTCGCCTTGAGCTTGCATGCGTCGTCCCCTAAAGCTCGCATGCGCCTTACCCAACAGAGCTTGCCTGTGCCTTACCCGCCAGAGCTCGCCTGCGGAGGTTTGAATCCACACCTAATTCCAACAATCTCCCACTTGGAGACCAAAATGACGTCAACAGGCTACCTCAACAAGCACCTCCTCCTGTGTGGCTCCGCCTTCATCATTTATGCATAAAGGCCAACTGAAATTACGCACAACTCCAGTTTCTGAGAGGTCACTGCCTCTGTCAACTTATCTGTTGGATTCTTTCTTCCTTAGATCTTCTGTTGAAATCCTTTGACAACTCGTCGGGCTCTATATCTTCTGGTACCATCATGTTCCTTTTTCACTCGATACACCCACTTATTGTGACGTGCCTTCTTCCCCATGGGCAACTCAAATAGTTCTCATGTCTGGTTGGAGATTAAAGATTTCATCTCTTATTTCATAGCAAACTCCCACTTGCTCGTATCCCCACTCTGACAAGCTTCATCATAGCTTTCAGGCCCTCCTCCATCTGTCAGCAACATATAATTCATGTATCTACTGTTAGGCACAAGAGGATGAGTAGTTCTCCTTAATATCGGAGCTGGTGCGTCGGGCTTCTGCGCACCGTTCTATCAAACAGGCTCTTTTGGCTGAAGACCTTATGCATTGGATTCTTCCGAGAGGTTATCTAGGACATCATCTGCATCTATAAATATTGACTCGCTCTCTGAGTCACTGACATCTGTCTTATGCACGTCCTTATATATCACCTTCTCGTTGAATATCACATCTCTGCTCTTGATCACCTTCTTGTTTACGTTGTCCCAAATGCGGTAGCCGAACTCATCTTCACCATACCCGATGAATGTGCATTTTTTAGACTTGGGATTAGGCTCATTCCTGTCTTGATCACTAATATGCACATAAGCTACACAACCGAAAACTTTGAGATGTGAGAGGGTTACCTCCTTTCCGCATCATACCTCCTCTGGTATTCTATACTCCAATGGAACTGATGGCCCTCAATTAATCAAGTAAGCTGCTGTGTTGATTGCTTATGCACAGAATTGCTTCGGTAGACCTGACTGTATCCGAATGCTTCTGGTTCTCTCTGTCAACGTTTTATTTATGCGCTCAGCCACACCATTGTGCTATGGTGTGCCGAGCATAGTTCTCTCCATTTTGATACCGTGCACATAGCAGAACTTCTTGAATCTGGTGTCTTCATACTCACCATCATTGTTTGTTTTGAGCTTCTTTATTCTCAGACCGGTCTCATTATCGACCATAGCTTTCCATCTCCTGAAAGCTTCAAACACTTTTGACTTGTCCTTCAGAAAGTAGACTCATACTTTCCGAGAGTGATCATCGATAAAAATCACGAAGTAGTGTTTTTCACCAATAGACGCGGTGGTGGTTGGTCCCCAAACATCTTAGTGAACGAGCTCTAGCTTCTACTTCCTGGGGGTTTTGCCATTTGTTTGAAACCTGGCTCTCTTTTCTTTCCAAGTATGTATTCTTCACACATATCAATCTCTACTGATTGTAAACCTGAGAGTTTCCTCTTTGTGTGCATAATCTTCATCCCCTTTTCACTCAAATGACCGAGTCTCTGGTGCCACAGCTTTGAAGTCTCATTATCTGCTGCAACTGAGATCAAACAACATGCACCTATTGTGATATACAGGGTACCAGTCTTCCTGCCTCTGGCAATCGTTATTGCGGCTTTTGAAATCCTCTAATTATTACCATGAAAAGTCGTAGTGTAGCCTTCACTAGCTAGCTAGCTTACTGAGATTAAGTTCCCTTTTTAGGTCGGGAATATGTCTGACATCCTTCACCTCACATACTAGTCCATTTAACTTAATCTTCACTACACATTTGCCAATAATGGTACATGGTTGATCATTACCTAGGTATGCATTTTCAAGGTTTCCAAGGATATACTTCTCGAGGAATTCTTTCTGAGAAGTAGCATGGAATGATGCTCCATAGTCCAACACCCAAGACTCCTCATTGCTCTCCAAACAGCATATCAATGCACCATCTCCTCCTGAGGTGGAAGCAAAATTTGCATCTGCCTTTGCCTCACACTCCTTCTGTGCACTCTTGCACTGCTCCTTGTAGTGCCCAGTTTTCTCGCACTTCCAACACTCGATAGCCTTCGAGCTGCTGGGATTCCTAAATTTGGACCTTTTGTCTTTTGATCCATTTTCTCTGGTTGAATTTCTATCTCTTGACTCTGTATGCAATACTAAAGAGGTTGTACTTTCACCCGACTCTCTCTATCGGATTTCCTCACTGAGAACCAGATCACGAACGTTATCAAACTTTAACTTGTTGCTTCCCGACGAGCTACTCACAGCTGTGACTGTAGCATTCCAACACTCTGGTAAGAAAGACAAAAGGATCAATGCTCGAACTTCCTCATCAAACTCAATATCAACTAAACTCAATTGGGTCGTGACTGTATTAAGTTCATTGAGATGATGTGCTACCGATGCACCTTCCGCCATTCGCAGATTGAACAACTACCTCATCAAATGGACTTTATTTGAGGCTGATGGCTTCTCATACATATTTGAGAGTGCTTCCATAAGACCTGCCGTAGTATTTTCTTTTGTAATGTTAAAAGCAACATTGTGGGTTAACATCAAACGAATAACCTCGATGGCCTTTCTGTCTAGAAGATTCTAATCTTCTTCCTTCATACCTTCCGGCTTCTTCCCCGAGAGAGGTTGATACAGATTTTTTTGATATAGATAATCCTCTATCTGTATTTTTCAGAATCCGAAATTTGATCTATCAAACTTCTCTACTCTCACCTTTCCTTCATTTGCGGTCATCGCTCCCACTTAAATCTGACTTCCTTCAGATCGTTTCTAAGCTCTGATATCAGTTGTTGGGAATTTACGTCAAAACCCCAAACACAACAGAAATGCAGTATAGAGAAAATACACAAAGATTTAACAAGGTTCGATAACTACCTATGTCCTCGGGAGCCATGCAATTAAGTTCTTATTAATCAACAAGAAATTACAAAGCTTAGAGCAGATCTCAAACTGAGATCTCTCAATAAATACACAACACTGTAGCTACAGTGTTGTGTAACCCATCTTCTTAAATCCTCTCTCTTTAATTCCCTTTTCTTAATTTTTTGGCCTTTTAATCCCCCCAAAAATCTCTGCTTAGGGCGTTGAAAAAAAAAATGCTGGAGAAAAAGAAGAAAGAGAAGAGGCTGTCGTTGGATTTGAGCGCGAGAAGAAGCAGCGATCAAGGCCTCTGGGTTTCTCTTTTATAGGGAAACCCTAGCGATAGGCTGGCGTCGCTGGAGCTTGCCTGCGCGTAGTGCTCGAGCTCGCCTGATTCGCGTCGACCTCGCCTGTAGCTGCGTCGACCTCGCCTGTTCCAACCCGTTCAAGCTCGCCAGCAAACGCCCCAACCTCGCCTGAAGAAGCCCTTGCCTAGAGCTCCTCGCCTACGCTGCATCAACGAGCTCGCATGACCTCGCCTGAAATCAAAGCTCGAGCTCGCCTGCACCGGATCTCGAGCTCGCCTTGAGCTCGCATGCGTCGTCCCCCAAAGCTCGCCTGCGCCCGCCAAAGCTCGCCTGTGGAGGTTTGAATCCACACCTAATTCCAACAGGAATAACATGTTGCTCCTATAATTGACTATGTAGACTATGGTTTAGTTAGCCTACAAATAGCTTATAAATAATTTTAGTCATCTTGGAAATACATAATTACTGGTTTAGACCCAAATTTAGATCCAAAATTAGACCCAAATTTAGGTTAATTTGTAGATGGTAGGTGACCAACAATAGTCATAGGAGTGAAAATTTTCTAGTTAGTCAACATAGGATATAAGTGTTAGTCTAAAGTGTAGACCCAAAGTTGAAGCCGAAGCTAGAATCAAAATGAGGGAGAAAATCGAGAAAAAACAGGAGGAGGCTTGCACGGTCGACCGTGGCGGTCGACCGCGAACGTGCACAGCTGGAGCTGAAGACAGTCGACTACGACGGTCGACCGCGGCAACCCTGTAGGGATTTTGGT